GAATATAAATTCAGTTCGGATATCGGGTGCTAAAAATTTATCCACACCCGTCCCGAAACCCGAACTAACCGAAATTTTATTATTATAAATATAATAATATAATTTATATATTTAGTTTTAAATGTATTTCATAATTAATAATACATTAATTTTTAAAAGTCTATTCGTTAATTATTAGTATTTGTCTTATTTTTAGTTTGATACTATATGAAAAAATATAAATAATAAAATAATAAAATCATTAAAAAATTCAAAATTGATAAAATAATATTTTGGGTATATCCAAACTAACCCGAAATAAATTCGAAATAATTTCACCCGAACCGAACATATCGGAATTAAATTTGGTTTGGATATCGGGTGTCAAAGTATCACTCGAAATTTTCAGATATTCGAAATAAAATTCGGGTATCACTCGAACCGAACCGACCCACCCCTATATGCAAGTAAAAGTACGTGCTGGGTAAAATCAGTTACAAGTGCACATATTTTCACCTACAAGTGCATGTAATTTTGCCTTATTAACATTCATTCATCGGGTACACCTACTTATAAGTATAGGTGCACCTAAATTTAGACACATAGAGTAGCTAATTGGTTCATAATTCGTTTCTGGACACACTGTTTGCACCTGAAGGCAACTCACCTATTAAGTATTAACAATAAGACTTCAGTTTTCACTCTTCCCTTTCCTAGGAATTCCTACCACTCGGAAAAAAAGAAGGCTTGAATATAATTGTGGATCATGAATGATTTGTGGGTGGTGTGAATATAAAAACAGTGTTTATTTTTTATTTTTTATTTTTTTCTAAAGAAGAAGAATAGTCTATGTTCACATTACAGAATAAATTTTTATTTTTTTCTAAAGAAGAAGAATAGTCTATGTGATTTGTGGGTGGTGTGAATATAAAAACAGTGTTTATTTTTTATTTTTTATTTTTTTCTAAAGAAGAAGAATAGTCTATGTTCACATTACAGAATAAATTTTTATTTTTTTCTAAAGAAGAAGAATAGTCTATGTTCACATTACAGAATAAATTATGGCACTGTTTAATAAATGACTGTTAACTGATAATTGTTAATTAGAAGGTATAATTAGTTGATAATATTAACTGATTGTAGAAAGGTATTTGTTAAATTAGTTGTTAGCTGATAGCTGTTTGGTATAATTTCTTTTCTTAAAAAACTAATTTAAAAGTTGCTTTGAGTAACTTTTTCAATTTTAACATTTTGGAGTACAACAAACTAATTAACCAAACACTTATATTGATTTTTAAACCAAGTCAAACAACGAATAGTGATCAAATAAGTCAAAATTAACCTATAAGTTAATTATTTTACCAAACAGGGTCTATAAGTTAAAATTTATTATTATTTATTTCATATTTGCAACAACAAATAATTATAGTTTATTTAGGAAAAAGAAGGCTTGAATTATTGGGGATCATGGATGATTTGTGGGTGGTGTGAATATAAAAACAGTGTTTACTTTTCCTAAAGAAGAAGAATATATAGTCTATGTTAACATTACAGAATAAACTATAAGTTTTTTTTTTTTTTTTTTTTTTGAATGCAAGTGACTCTATTACAATGTAGTATCTGTTCATATCTTCTCAACCTAGTTAAGCACAAGAAGTCAATGACGCCTCCTCCGAGACTCAAACTCACAACCTCCTATATGTAAATCCAACCCGATTGCCATCTGAGCACAAAGTGTTTGACGAATAAATTATAAGTTAAATTTATTATTATTTTTTATTTCATATTTGCAACAACAAATAATTATAGTTTATTACATATGAATAAAATTTACACTGTACACATTGTCGGGTAATAACTGTAAATTTTTTTATTCATAAAAAATAATTTTAGTTTGTTTGGTTCATGAGTTTACACACTATGAACATGAATCAAAATCATAGTTACATGGCGTTTGGTTGGGGAGGGGGAATTACGTGGGAAATGAATTGCAATTCCATGGGATATGAATGACTAAGTGGGAATTTAAATTCCAGTGTTTGGTTTACAGGAATAGAATTACTGCGAATTTCAATTCCAATGTTTGGTATACATGCATGGGAATTGAAAGGGAATAAGTAGTATAAAGTAAAAAATGTTCATTATTGTTGTTAGGCATTAATTTAGGTTAAAAAGGGAAGGGGTAATTTTGACTCATTACTATCTTTTTTTCTTCCTAAAATCTCAGTTAATTCCATGAAAATGGGGGAATTGCAATTCCATTGAATTGTAATTCCTTTCAACCAAACAAGAGAATTTTGTGGCCTTTGGAATTAAATGAGAATTAAGTTGGAAGATAATTTAAATTCCCTTCAACCAAACGCCCTGTTAGTGTTTGATACGGTTGACAACTTGTTAAAACACAACTATGAGTTTTGATCAACCCTTCAGTTAAAAATTATATTCCCTAATTAAAAAAGGGTATCATTCCATATTATTGATAGTCTAATTTTTAAATTTTAGTGAGTATTTTTAGATTTTTTTTTTGTTAATATTGATGCTTTGAATTGGATGCCATTATATCATGATCAATTGTCTTGATTTTTTATTTTCATATTTTTTAAACATTTATTTCCATATATAAGGTCATATACAACTAAATATCAATATTGGTAATCATTCCAATTCCACCTACCACCAAACATACAAAATACTTTCATCACTCTCATTACAGTTATCAAGTATTTGATTTTCATTCCAATTTTAATTTTAATGGAGCGAACCAAACACACCCTTAGATTTATCTTGAATTGTCACAATAGAATTTGCAATTTTTATTTTTACTTTTTAATACTCCATACTACAAATGTTAGAGTTAATACTCAATATAGTCTTCGACTATAGTGGTTTTACTTGATTTAGTCCTAAGTGACTTTTTGTGCTCAATTTAGTTATCGACTTTTATGATTTTACATAATTTAGTCTTTTATTAAAAGTTCTGTCAGTTGGCTATTATAAATAGGGTTCTAATGGTAATTTATCATCCTTCATTTCATTTGGGATGATTTATTTTTATTTTTTTTCCCTTTATTAAGCTCCACACAAAAATGTAGATGTTCATCCTCAAATAAACTTAAACCCTAAATAAATAAATAAAATATTCGACCACAGTAATTTCTCCAATTCTCCTCCCTTCTTGTCAAGTTTAGGCCAGGTTTGAGACCTGATGAGCGATTTGCAGTTGTCTTCTCAACGTGCTAGTCCAAATACCCAAGGAAGAAATATATAAATTGTCCGATTGCATTAAGATGGTCAACCCAAAGCTCGGTTACATTGTGAAACTCCTGATAGATGAAGAGAATGCTGGAGGTGTTTTAAATTAAAGAGGGAAGCTGTAGAACTCTTTAATTCTATTAGTATTGTTTTCAGAAAAGCTTATTGCAGCAATTAAATTGATATTTGTATGAACCTTAATTAAGGAAGAAATGTTGGGAAAATATTTATTTATTTAGGGTTGAAATTTATTTGGAGATTCTACATTTCTGCGTGGAGCTTAATAATGAGAATGAGATAAAGGATGATAAATTACATTTAAGGTCCATTTGGAAACCCGTAAATGACTTTTGAAAAATATTTTCTAGAAAATGAATCATTTTTCAGAAAACATTTTCCTTTCCGGTGTTTGGCTACACAACGAAAAATTAACTTTGTGTGTTTGGTTCATTTTCCAGAAAATGAGAAAGAAAAATGAAAAGAATTGAATACTTCAAAATTTTAATTGTTCAATATTTTTTTTATAAAATCCTTCTGTAAATAGCACTCTTTATATATATATATATATATATATATATATATATATATATATATATATATATATATATATATATATATATATATATATTAAAAAATTATTTTTAAATTTTTTTTAAATATAAAAAATTAATATTATTTGTAGACTTTACTTATTTTTTTAAAATTTTAATTTTTTTATCGCGGACTGGTCGACGAGGCCTGTCAACCCGTATGAGACGGGCTATGGTTACATGAAACCTAGCTTGCAGGTTTAGTGGGTCGACTCGTAAAAGCTCGCAAAAAATTAGACCCGAAAAGTTTTGCATGCGCATCCCTTGGAAAATAACTTCCTCCAAAAAAAGAGAAGTCATTTTTCCTCAAAATATACCTATTTTCCTTTGACTAAGACATTATTTTCCATTAACCTCATTTTCCCCCCTCTTGCGAAACATGAAAACTCGGAAAACATTATCCAGAAGTCATTTTCCGGATTTCCAAACGCACCCTAAGATTATATTTCTAATCGTTAGAACATTTAACAAAAAATTAAATTGTTTAAAATCATAAAAGTTGATGACTAAATTAAAAAAAAAAAGTCATTCAAAATTAAATTGAATAAAATCACTATAATCGAGAATTATATATGTCATTAACTCACAAATGTTATTATTCTTAACTATTAAGCGACACGTCAGGGGGTAAAGTGGATCCTGCCAGCGGGTCAATTAATAATACCCCACATGAAAATACACGTGAAAAAGACAAAATATATTCATGGTCGGCTAGGGTTGGGTAGGGGGACTTGGGGAAGACTTTTGAGAAGTCTTCGTATATAAAACAATTTTTATTTAAAAACAAAAAAGCTATGTTCACATTACGTGATTAATTAGTTATTATTGTGCTCAAGTGTGTGTGTGTGTATATATATATATATATATATATATATATATATATATATATATATATATATATATATATATATATATATAAATAAAAAAATATTATTGTGCTCAAAATTAGTTTAGATATTGAAGATTTGTACTTGAGATAATAATTTTACTTCTAAAATATAAAATCTAGTAATATTTTATCATTAATTTGCCTGAAAGGACTAAAGTTGATAAAAATAACAAAATTATACGTTAAAATTAAAAATATTTTAAAGTTATCAGCAAAAGTGATAATACCTCAAAAGTGGTGGACCGAAAGTGAAATTAATTCATTAATACTAAGAGCCACGTCAGGAGACTTGAGGAAAGACTTGGCGCAGTCTTCGTCGTCTCTACGCAGACCAGTGGAAGCCTTTTAAAGCATCGCATTCCGTTCTTCGTTCCATCGCTCAGTTTCTCTCAACTTTCTTACTCAGATAATCAATCTTCCAGTTCAGTAAGCGAAAAGGAGAAGAGAGAAAAGCATCTTCAATGGCGGAGCAGAACGGCGATGCACACGACCTCCGATCGATCCTCTGCTCTTCAGACAGAGATTTTCTGATTCGGAACAGCGGTCATCAGGTATTCATTTCAGGGATTTCCCCCAATTCTTCTATATGAAAAGTAGGCAGTTTAGTTAGATTTGTTGACCTGTCATGTTTGATCAGTTGATTGTAAGTTTTTTTTTTTTTTTTTTTTTTTTTTCTTGCGATTGATTGTGAGTGTTTTTGTTTCTAGCGATTAATTAGAGATTTTACTATTTTGTAGTGTTTTCTTATCAGCTTATGTGTGTAATTTCTGTTGATCCTGTAAAGAAGTTAATTGCGAGCTGCTGCTGTTAGTTTGATAGTAATTTTACAGTGAAGAATCTTTAGTAACTCCATGGTTTCTGGTTAAGTATGGAAAACTCGATACTTGACATTTAAACTTTCTCTTACCTAAGGTTTCCTGTGGGTTATGAGACTTTTAATAAAATTTGGGTTATGAGACTTTTAATAAAATTTTCTGTAAGTTGTGGAAGAATCTGATGTGAGGGTCTCCTTTCACCCAATTCTTAACCCCAGGGCCGTATTTTAAATTTTGGTGGCCCTGTTCTGGTAAATAAATGTGGCCCTACCAAAATCACAATTTTTAAAATCAATACATGCAAGTTTCGAACCTTTGACCTCCAAGTTAAAATACAATAAATATACATTTTTACCATCTCTTCATAGAACCTTTTAAGTTTAATTGAAAACTCTTAATTTTTATTTCTAAACTAGCTAGGTAAAAATTAAATATTGGACCTATAAAATTTGGGGCCCCTCTAAAATTGGGGGCCCTGTGCGGTAGCCCAGCTTGCACAGCCTAAAATCCGGCCCTGCTTAACCCATATACCTATATGTACCCATGTGATGTAGGGTAACACTTTTAGTCTAGATCCAAACAGACACTATTAAGTTCCTGAAATTGATTGCTTATGTGACTTTATGCTATTAGTAGTTTAGTTGCCAACTGAAATTCAAGTCTTCAATATTTTGCCTATCTTGATTATTTGAGTATTATTTTTCAATTCTTACTGAAGTAGTATATCTAATAGTTGGGTTGCATTGATGAGAAATGAATCGCAGTTATAGTCAATTAATGCTTCACTGATCTTATTTTGTTTGGCACATCAATCATCTTGTCTTTAAGTACTGAATTGAATATGGAACCAAGAGTGGAAATTTTATTTCCTGAATATATATATATATATATATATATATATATATATATATATATATATATATATATATATATATATATATATATATATATATATATATATATATATATATATATATATATATATATATATATATCCAAGAGGTGAGTTGTATCCTTGAATTTTCATTTCTTTTGTCAGGTTAAAGTTGATGATTTGAAGGGGAAGAAGATTGGGATATACTTCTCAGCATCGTGGTGTGGTCCTTGCCATCGATTCACCCCAAATTTAGCAACAGTGTATAATGAACTCCTTCCCAAAGGCAACTTTGAAGTTGTATTTGTGTCTGCTGATGAGGATGAGGAATCTTTTAAGGAATACTTTGGTAAAATGCCTTGGACTGCAGTCCCATTCTCTGATTCTGTCACTCGTGAACGGCTGGATGCATTATTCACTGTTAGGGGAATACCCCACCTTGTGATCCTTGATGAAAGTGGAAAAGTAACAACTGAAGATGGCGTTGATATTGTCCTTGAGCATGGGGTGGAAGCTTACCCTTTTACTCTAGAGAGGGTCAAAGAAATCAAAGATGCAGAAGATGCAGCTAAGAGGGAACAATCTTTGAAAACTGTCCTAGTTTCGACATCACGTGACTATGTGATTGCAGCTGATGGGAAGAAGGTATGGCTTTTAAAATTCTCTTCGTCATTGAGATTCCCATGTCCTACCTTCCTTGGTTCAATCTGCATTCTCCTTAGGAATTCAACTTTATAGTGATCTTTATATTGATTTTATTTATGTTGTATTTTCAAGGTACCTGTTGATGCTCTTGAAGGCAAGACTGTGGGCCTATATTTCTCAGTGGCTACGTGCGGTGGAAGCTCTGCTTTTACTCCAAAGCTGCGCGAAGTTTATCAGGAATTAAAAGAAAAGAATGCAAACTTTGAGATTGTGATGATACCCCTTGATGATGATGAGGAATCTTTCAAGGAAGCTTTTAAAAGCTTGCCTTGGTTTTCTGTTCCTTTTGGAGACAGAAGCTGTGAGAAGCTCGTGCGGTACTTTGAGCTCTGTTCACTGCCTACCCTAGTCATCATTGGGCCAGATGGGAAGACTCTTCAGTCTAACGTTGCTGAAGCCATAGAAGAGCATGGTGCCCTGGTCTATCCTTTTACTCCTGAGAAGTTTGCTGAGGTTGAAGAGATAGAGAAGGCTAAGAAAGAAAAACAGACGCTAGAGTCAATTTTGGTTAAAGGAGAAGTTGATTTTGTCATTGGTAAAGATGGAGTGAAGGTGAGATATTTGATACTTGGGTACCTGAGACACTTATGCTTAGCTAGTGTTACTAATCTTCCATATAGAGTCGATCTTGACATGAATATATACTTATTGTGCTTGCTGTTGTGTTTTGGAATTTATCGTGAAGTTGGTACAGAATTTATAAGCCTTACCTTGCTATTACAAATTGTCAAATTCTGATAAGTGATGAAAATATTGCAGATCCCAGTATCAGATCTTGTTGGAAAAAATATACTCCTATACTTCTCTGCTCATTGGTGTCCTCCTTGCCGTGCTTTTCTACCAAAACTCATTGAGGCATACCACAATATCAAAGCAAAGGATGATGCATTTGAAGTGATTTTCATCTCCAGTGACAGAGATCAGTCCTCCTTTGATGAATTCTTTTCTAAGATGCCATGGCTGGCTATTCCTTATGGCGATGATAGGAAGGGATCTTTGAGTCGCCTATTCAAAGTTCGTGGAATCCCAATGTTAGTTGCCATTGGAAGAACAGGCCGAACTCTCACCACTGAAGCTAGAAATTTGGTGATGAGTCATGGTGCTGATGCTTATCCCTTCACGGAAGAGCGTTTGAAGGAGCTTGAAGCTGAATATGAAGAGATGGCAAAGGGGTGGCCTGAGAAAATGAATCATGCCCTTCATGAAGAACATGAGCTTTTGCTTACAAGACGCCAGCATTATACTTGTGATGGATGCAATGAAGGGGGACAAGGTTGGTCATTCTATTGTGATGATTGTGACTTTGACCTCCACCCAAAATGTGCTTTGGAAGAAAAAAAGGAAGAGCCCACAGAAGAGGAGAGCCAGAAAGATGATGAGAAAACAAAGGAGGGCTGGGTTTGTGATGGTGAAGTTTGTAAGAAAGCTTAAGAAGTTTTTCGAGGTCTGTGGATTGTTATTATTGCCATATTGCATATGCTGAGCTGTTTAATTCTTATATCCATCATATACTCATATTTATTACGGAGTACTAGGTTAATGCTGTATCAACCCTTACTTTGTGTGATGTATCCCCAATAAAACTGGTTTTCTGATAGTTTTGTCTTTGAGTTGGACAAATCTCTAGATGATTGAGACATAGATGCTCTGAAGTCTGAACATAATTTATATTGATAGTTAGAGTTGTTAAAATGAGCTTAGTGAGTTAGGTTGGCTCGCCGTATCACATAAGGAGCATTATTATGTGGACCATGATTCACACAGTTGTGTGGACCATAAATAAAAAATATATTATTTTTTGTACATAAAATACACTATTTGAATACCGAAAGTACAATATTTTGTACACTAGCAAATAATGTATATTCAGTACACAAATAATGTACTTTTTTAGTATATTAAAAATGTACCTTATATTCAGGAAAATACATTTTTTGGCCCGTCTTGCCGGCCCGCTTTGCCAATAACATTGATAGCAAAGTTCCAAAACATTACAAGTGATGGGCATGCATCTAAATGAAAATTTGAGTTGTGCTGTTTACACAATCTAGTTTTAAAAGGGAAATTGTGGGATTGAATAGAGTGAGATGTGATGTAATTGCTTTAGTTACTACTACTATATTCTTTCATGCATATTTGTGATGAAGCAAAATCAATTGCATTGAAGACAAAAGAAGAATGTGTTGTGAATTCTTAAATCAGAAGGAATGAAGATTCCCCTGGCAGCCCCCTTAATTATATAATAGAATTTGTCACTATTATATGGCCCTCTTGAGTTGAGTATCTTGAATATAATATCATTAGGCACATCCTAAACAATTCTTTAAAATATGAGGTTTAACCATTTGGAGGCCATTGCAGCAAGTACCTGTGAGCTGCAGGCATTGTGCTTAAAAAAATATGAAATTGACCTATATTATATTCATGTGTCCTAGTCTTCCCTTGTCTTTACCATGTCTTTGTGTAAAACTTTGCCCTGTTCCACAGGGTAGTTGAGGCTGAAAAGGAATTGGCTGGCGCTTTGGCTTATATCAGCTTTGCAGATTTCCTCCACAGAGTGTCCTATCCAGATTTTCAGATAACGAATCAGCAAAACATGGCTGAGGGAAGTGATGGGAAGAGCTGTTCTCGTGACCTCGTGTCTCTGCTGTCTTCAATGGATAGAGATTACCTCATACGAAGAGGAAATGGCGAACAGGTTGGTATATATGGTTTATTGTTTTCATCAACATTGTAAATGGTATGAATAAGTTAGAGTATACTTGAGAGTTGTTTATGGTTTCTTTTAACTGAATCTCAGGTTTTAGTTTCTTCATTTTTGCTATATCTAGTGTAGTGAACTGATACATGCGAAAACAGGTTCTCGTGTTTGTGTAGCATGATGAATCTAGTGGTTTCGTGCTTGCCTGTAGGTTATGGTCAGTTGTATTACAGGGAAGGTAGTAGGCTTATATTTTTCTGGTTCATGGTGTGGTCCATGCCAACAATTTACAACAAATTTGGTGGAAACATATGAAGCCCTTTTACCCAAAGGAGAGTTTGAAGTGGTGTTTGTTTCTTCTGACAAAGATGAAGCATCATTTCACAGCTACTTTGAGAAAATGCCATGGCTGGCAGTTCCTTTCTCTGATGTTGAGACGCGTAAAACTCTCAAGCAGACATTCAAAGTGCGGGCAATTCCACATCTAGTGATACTGGATAAAACAGGCAAGGTTTCAAGTGGTGAAGGCATTAGACTCATCAAGCATTTTGGGGCCGAGGCCTATCCGTTTACACCAGAAAGAATTCGTTACTTGAGAGAGGAAGAAGAGAGAGCTAAAAAGGATCAGTCCTTGCAGTCTCTCTTAGTCTATGGTTCTCGTGACTATTTGATCTCAAATGGTGGGAATAAGGTAATGTTTTTTGTTAAACCCATCATATTAGATCAATCGAAAACTTGTGATGATCTGTGCTGTAACCATTCCTATTCCCATTGCCAGATTTCTGTGTCAGAGCTTGAAGGCAAAACAGTTGGTTTGTATTTTGCTATGAGTTCTCACAGTGGCTGCAGGAAGTTTACCTCGAGACTAATAGAGGCATACAAAAATCTCAAACGGGAGAGCTTCGAAATTGTGTTAGTGTCTCTAGATGATAAAGTCGAAGAGTTCAGGGAAGGTTTCGAAACCATGCCATGGCTAGCATTGCCCTTTAAAGATGAGAATTGCAGGAGGCTTGGCAGGTACTTTGAGAATAAATGGCTTCCTCAGCTAGTTATAATCGGTCCAGATGGGAAGACAGTGAGCCCCAATGTGGTTGAACTTGTTGAGGAACACGGAGAAGAGGCCTTTCCTTTTACACGAGAAAAGCTCGTGCAACTGGCTAACATGAAGAAGGCGAAACTTGAAGCTCAGACATTGGAATCCATCCTGGTTTCTGCAGCTAGACATTTTGTTATCTCAAAGGATGGTTCTAAGGTAGGTAATGCTGAACTGAACTGAATTGAAGTGAGTTGGAACTTGGAAAGGTTACTAATTCGGTTTTATTTGTTTCTGCTTAGGTTCCTGTCTCGGAGCTGGTTGGAAAGAACATTCTGCTCTACTTCGCAGCAAAATGGAGCCTTCCATGCCAAGAATTTCTGCCAAAACTTGTGAAGGCATACCAAGAAATCAAGGCCAAAGATGATGGGGAAGCATTTGAAGTGATTTTCATCTCAAGCGATCACGATCAATCCTCCTTTGATGACTTCTTCTCAGGCATGCCATGGCTAGCCCTCCCCTTTGGTGATCAGTGCAACAAGTTTCTGCTGCAAAGATTCAGAATAGCCATTGGAGGCATACCAGCAGCCATAGCCATAGGACCCTGTGGCCTCACATTGAATACACAAGTCAGGCAACTCATCGAAACACATGGCTCGAGCGCCTACCCGTTTACCGAGGAGCACGTGAAGAAGTTGCAGTTGCAGACGGAGAAAGGAGGAGGAGGAGAACGAGATGAACTCCACACTGAACACGACCTCGCTCTTGCTCATCGCAAGGTGTATCTCTGCAATGGATGCAAGGAGATGGGATATGGATGGTCTTTTCTGTGCAGGCATTGCGATTTCGGCCTACATCCCAAGTGTGCAAGCTCAACACAAGGATGACAAAGAAACTTGTTAGAATTGAATGATAATAAATTGATTAATGCATCAACTAGCATACTGCTTCACTTCTTCTTGGATGTTTCAATGCTGCACAATTTTCTTCCTCTGTAATCTGGGTTAAATAATGAAGTTTTAGTTTGTTTCTAGCTTTCATTTAATTTGGATGGTTAAATAAAATTCACCAATCCCATAATCTATAGTATTAGGTCGTAATTCGTAAATGACATTTTGTATAGAGAACAACAATGGATTAACAAAGATTAGAGAATGAAAAAATTCCAATCAATTTCGGTGGCTCGGTTATATAGGGGCTGGATTTGGTGCAAAGGATCTCTTAGGTGAAAGATGGAGTTAGATTTGAGCCGTTGATCAAATCTAGATCAACGGTTCAAATCAATGAAATTTTTATTTTTTTTTAAAAAAAGCGTTTCTTCGGTCATTAGGAGCTTGACTGTTATCTCTTCTCTTGTATACTACTTTGGTAAATGGTAATGTTCATTAACTGATTACTGAAACATCCATCAACTGATTGTTGAAACTTGATTAAGGATAGTGGGTGTGTTTTGGGATAAAGAAGCAAACAAATGACGCACCTTAAGAAGGAAAATCACGCACCTAAAGCTTTAGACCGACATGACACACTTAGGAAGGAAAATAATGCACCTTAATAAGGAAAATCATACACCTAAAGCTTCAGGCTGACGCACATTAAGTTTCAACAACTGACGCACCCTTAAGCACACAGATCACACACCTTAAAAAGGAAAACCATGCACCTAAAGCTTTATATCGATGCACTTAAGTTTTAACAACTGACGCGCACCTTAAGCACACAACACAAAAATCACCTTAAGCACAAAAACTACACACCTTAAATTTGACCTAGATGCAAAAAGACCAAATTGTCACCGCGTTTTTTTTTTTTTTTTTTTTTTTTTTTTTTTTTTTTTTTTTTTTTTAATATGTGACCAATCTGGGCTGTTGATTTTAATTACATCAAGGGTTGAGATTAAATTCCATCTTTCATAGGAAGCCGATCACCACACCTGAACACACACACACACACACACACACACACACACACACATATATATATATATATATATATATATATATATATATATATATATATATATATATATATATATATATATATATATATATATATATATATATATATATATATATATATATATATCAAGGGTTGAGATTAAAATCTCATTGGATAGGGGAGTGATTGGTACTAAGTTGAAAATCTTCATTTAGAGAAACTAAACTATCTTTCTTATTATTTCATACAAAGGATATCAGATTATATATAAAATCTCATCGGATAGGGGAGTGATTGGTATGGTTAAGTGAAAATTTTCATTTAGAGAAACTAAACTATCTTTATTATTATTTCATACAAAGGATATCAGATTATACGACAATATATATGCAAATAAAAAGTATTAGGAAGGGATATAATAAAAGAAAACTCTGCCTAAGAAAGCTACTTCTCTTCCCAAAGCTTTAAATGCAAGAGTAAATAAGCCAGCTCCATCAATTAAGATAGATATTTCCAATAGGTACATACTTATATTTCAATTTAGCTGTTGTGAAGTATACTCTTAACTTTAATTTTTTTTTTTTTTTTTTTTGTCTTAATAAGCAACAGAGTGTATAAACCTTTATGTAATTCAAATTTTTTTTTTAAAGCCAATTCTCTAGAGAGCAAAAAGATATACTTAGAAATTTTAGGTCATTACCTACCTTAAGACATGCTATAAATTACATCAAATGATCAATCTCTTTTTTTTTTTTTTTTTTTTTTTTTTTTTTTTTTTTTTTTTTTTTTTTTTTAAGTGGGTGAGCTCTTTGGATTTAGTAGATGAGATCTAAATGGGTGGTATCTAGAATTACCTCCCTAGCTTAGCGTGGGAGGAGGAAAATGAAAAATTTGGACTTTATTGCCTTATTGGGATAAAGTTGAGGTACAATACATACAAATTGTTTTGAAGATTGAGATCAATTGAGAATAATATATTTAAGTGATACTGGAGTAGATAGAGCAAGAGAGGTAAGACTCTACGTTTTTCCCGTAAGATCCGATCGTGCTCGCCGTTCGTGCGTTCCGATCACCGTCGTGGATAGTGGCCCCTCTTCCTTGATCGTGTCAAGGAGAGTGTCTCCCTAGAATTCTAGGGTTTTTCCTTCATTTATATCGCCGATGGCGTCTGTTGTGAGTATCGTTATCTATCTTCTGGTGATATTTGCATATCTATTGTTCCGAGTCAATATGGATTTGAGCCAAATCGAAGAACGCTGTGCGGACCTCAAGATCGCCGATGAAGAGACGAGCGGTCTGGAAGCGCCTGAATTGCGGACGGTGCTGGATCCGGAGTTACGCCACAATCTGGTGGGGAAGTTTCTCCCGGACAAGGTGATCAAATTCGATCAGATGCAACAAGTGCTGGCGTCTGTTTGACGTCCAGTGATGGGGGTGCATGTGGTATCACTGGCGAACAATCTCTTCCTTTTTCAATTCCCACACCAGAAAGATCTGAGGCGGGTGTTGGACGACGGCCCGTGGTCATTCGAAAATCAATTGCTGCTCTGCGATCAGGTACCGGCGGAGATGCAACCAGAGGAGGTTTCTCTGAATACTGCTGATTTTTGGGTTCAAATTCACGGTCTACCGACGATTTACGCGTCCACGGAATTTCTCACTCGGATCGGAAACCATGTTGGGCAATTCGTAGCGATTGATCCTGGCAATTTTGGGGGTTCCTGGCGGAGTTTCTATCGAATTCGGGTCAAACTGGATGTGTCGAACCCACTGAAACGTCGTATGAAGCTGAATCGGAGGGATGGTTCGTCTCAATGGATCACTTTCAGGTATGAGAGGCTTAGTGTCTTCTGTTTCTGCTGTGGGCTACTGGGGCACACAGAAAAATTTTGCAAGCGGGTCTACGAAGAAGGGGTGGAGCCGGAGGAGTTTCCGTTTGGAGTCTGGATGCGAGCAGGTCCGCGTCGCCAAGCCAAGCCGGTGGGCGCACGTTGGTTATTGCCGTCACTGTCACAGGCATCACCGATGGGTATGGAGCCGACAACTGACCAAACTCTATCTCTCATGGCGGTAGAGGAGGGTGTCGGTTTACACGGAGATCTGAAGAGACGCAGGGGGGATAGGGAGGACAACGACTGTGTGCAGAGGGTGGATATAGCGATGGGTGAGTCTTCAAAAAACATGACGTCGGCGGGTCTGGAGAGCCAGGCTCGCCCATCCCAATGAGCGTCTTGAGCTGGAACTGCCGGGGAATGGGTGGCACCCGGACAGTTCGTGAACTCTTGGGTTTGGTGTCCAAGATGCAACCCAGTTTCGTTTTCTTATCGGAAACGAAGGCGGACGAAGGGCAGGTGGAGCGGTTGCGAGTGCAGATGGGGTTCGAAGGGGTGTTGTGTGTGGAACGGGTTGGTTTGGGTGGGGGTTTGGCGTTGTTCTGGAGAGATACTGGCATGGCAACACTGTTAAGTTATTCACTTAACCATATTGACATGGTGGTAACACTTCCGGGTAAACCGACGTGGAGATTGACTGGCTTTTATGGTAATTCAGACAGGGGCAGTAGGCAGGATAATTGGGACCTCCTTCGGCAACTTAGGGATCGATCGTCCCTTCCTTGGGTGGTCCTAGGCGATTTCAATGATATCGCATGCCAATCGGAGAAGAGGGGTGTGCATTCTCATCTAGGGACTCTCATTGAGGGTTTTAATGATGCCCTGGGAGACTGCCAGCTCGTTGATCTTGGGATGACGGGTGGCCGGTTCACGTGGGAGAAGGGCAGGGGGACGGATAATTGGGTGGAGGAGTGTTTGAACAGAGTCGTGGCTACGATAGAATGGCTGGAGCTGTATGAGGAGGCAGAAGTGCGAAATATCTGGACTTATAATTCTGATCATTGTGCCATTTTCCTGGATCTTGATACGAGGCCGGTGAGGGCGGCCAGGAGGGCATTCAGATTTGAATCGGCATGGCTGCTTGAGGAGGGGTGTGCCAGGGTGGTCGATGCAACTTGGCGCCGAACAATGGGAATGGATTTTCAACAAAGGATTGCTGAATGTGGGCAACGAATCTGGAGATGGGGGGGGGGGGTGAACATCACCGTCAATTCGGGAATCGGATACGGGTGTTGAAAGAGAAGCTCGCGGCTCTGACAGAAGACAGAAACCCACGTGCAATTTCGGAATTCTTGGTGGCAGAAGAGGAATTGGGGGTTTTACTAAGACAGGAGGAACTTTTCTGGAGACAGAGGTCTAAGCAGCTTTGGCTGGCAAATGGTGACCAAAATTCTAAATATTTCGACAAAGCAGCCTCGTGCCGGAAAAGACAAAACCGCCTGACTCGTGTGAAAGACACGGAAGGGGAATGGAAAGAGGGCCCAGACATGCATGCGGAGCTTCTAAGGTATTTCAATTTCATTTTTCACTCCGAGCACAGTAATTCGGACTTGTTTAACCGGGTACATAGGCGGGTAATAGACGGGATGAATACATCCCTATTGCAATTGTTCACGGTTCAAGAAGTCAAAGAGGCATTGTTTTCAATGTCGCCGGACAAGGCCCCGGGGCCGGCCTTTTACCAGCATTTTTGGCCGGTGCTTGGCCATGACTTATCCGTTTTTATTTTGAACTGTATTTCCACTCGGAGGCTACCTGGGGGACTCAACGAGTCAAATATTGTCCTTTTACCCAAAAAGAAGAATCCCGAGAAAGTAACTGACTTACGCCCGATTGCTCTATGCAACGTGGCTTACAAGATTTTGGCCAAAATGTTGGCCAACCGTTTGAAGGGCTGTTTGGGGCAGATCGTGTCGCGAACACAAAGTGCTTTTGTTCCTGAACGTTTGTTGACTGATAATATTATCGTGGCGGGGGAAATTGGTCACTTCTTACGGAGAAAGACTAGTGGGATTGTGGGGTGGACGGCGCTGAAGCTAGACATGGCTAAGGCGTACGATAGAATGGAGTGGAAATTTTTGGAGGGCATGTTGTTGGCCCTCGGTTTCGTGCGGGAGTGGGTGGACCTGTTGTTATTGTGTGTCTCTTCGGTTAACTACTCCATTCAAGTGAACGGGGAGTCAATAGGTTCCGCCAGCCCCACAAGAGGA